AGAACAAAAGTGCTAAATAACTAACTCAAAGCAATAGCATCATCCACCCAAGCAAATCTCACAAACAAATCATAGCAAGTTCATCCAACCCAAGGCATGAAACTTTAGCTAGACATAAAGCAAATAAAAATACAATCCAATCTTGTATTAAAACTAACAAAGAAATCAAATACAAGAGTTAAAGTGTTAAGAGAGATCAAACCATTGCTACTAGAGCTCAACTTCTCTATCTTCATCCCTCTTTACTTCCTTGTTGAGCTAATACAAGAATTCAAGAACAGCCCACTAATTCTAAACTAATCTTACACTAATCTAACCTAGACTAGAAAAACTAAGTATTTCTAGTTTTAGATCTACATTTTGATGATGTTTTTCTCTCTCTTTTTCTCTGTAAAATTCATCCAAAAGGAGTCACTTTTGTGACGACCCCACCTTCCCCCTAAGGCATACCCAAGGATTTGGTGGATCGCCTGCCCAGTTCTCACCAGGATTCACTCACTCACTCAATCAACTCTTAAGATTAATCATTCAAGCCTCCAAAATAACATTTAAGTTCTACAATTCAACCAAAATGTAAACTTATTTACAACCCAAAAGCCAAACGTATGATACAACATCAAATGTCAAAATATATCCTATCAATCAAAAGTATAAGTACAAGAGGGTCATACACTGTAGTTCACACTTAATTGTTTTGGACCTCCATTCCTGTAAGGAAAATAAAAACTAAAGGAATGAGCTAAAAGCCCAGTGAGGTTCCTAAACAAGCAATCAGGTAGAAAAATCATGGAAGTATGGTATTTAGCAGTTTGAACACTTTGCACAATAATATCCAGTCATTCAAGAAATAAACATTCAATCATTGAAAGGATACGTGCTCACTTGGAGCCATTCATTCATTCATTCGCCAACCATTTTCCTTATCCCTCCAACATTAGAAAACATTTGCAAGTGAAAACTCCCTCAGTGTTCTTGTCATTCATTCATTATTATCATTGCATTGAATCCACTGGCCAGTTCTCCATCAAATTTTGTGGTAATACTCGAGTATACCAAACATTGTCCCAGGATCACCAGTTGCTCAACCGAGTCAACTTCTGGCTCGAGTCGACTGGCAACGAAGGGCAAGGGCCCAGTTCAGCCAAAAGACTTATATTCATGCACAAGTAGCATTCAATCATTAAAAATTCACTTTTGCTTGGGTCGAATGCGACAAGGTAAACACTCACCCATCGAAAATCCATTTAAAAATCATTAGAAAGTATTTAACATTCCAATAACATTCACAACATTTCACATAGTCATTTAAAGCATACACATGCAAGGAACACTCACCACGGGGTACAAGTTCAAGTGTTCGCCTCATGAGCACTTCCGACCTCACCTCCACGTCCTAAAATTACATTTATAAAGTGCCATGAGATCTACTGTGCCAAGTCACATTATTCCAAAAGAAAAATCAAACTCAAAATGGTTCAACAACTCCAACTTGAAGTTGGAAGTGAAAGTAAGGACGGTTTTAAGAAAACAGAAATTTTTCCCAGTTCTGCGCGATGCAATTTGAAAATTCATATCTCAAGTTTCTTAAATCCAAAATTTATAAACTTTATACCGTTAGAAAACAAGGTATATGATACATAGAGTACTTATTTTAGCCACAAAACTAGCTATAACCAACATATACCTAAGCTGGAAATTAACCAAACCCTAGCAACAACTTCACCAAACCCTAGCAAAACCATGAAATTACCATAAACATGCTTCCTTCAACTTCAATCATAACACATCTTGCATAAATCTCAAGAAAAAAGTAAAAATAGATGTTTTCTAGAAATTTTACCTCAAAACCCCAAGAAAACAAGCAACTCAAGAGCTTTCTTCCCTAAGTAACTCCACCAAAAGCTTCCCTCCAAACTTAACTCAAGATTAATCGGTATGCATTAGGGTTAGTGCTTGGATTTCTCATGAATTGAGCAAGAAATCAAGGCTAGAGGTTGGTTTCTTTTCTCTCTCTTTCTCTCTCAATATTTCGGCCAGCCCAACCAAGAATGAAGAGAAATAATGGTGAAATGTAAGCTTAATGGTGAAAGAAAGTTGTCTTAGTCTTGGTCAAAGTTCCATGGATGGTTGACACTTGGAAAGGCAAGGATTAATATCTAGTTAATGACTTAAATATCTCTCTTTTCTCTCTACAAAAATTTCGGCCAAGAAAGTAGACAAATGAAGGAAAATTGTGGCTAGAGGAAAGATAAGAAGGAAGAAAGTTTCTTAGTCAAAGGTTGCATGGATGGCCAACACTTGGCAAGCCCCAATTTTCCTCTTGTTTTTGTTTCTCTTCGTCTTGTTTTCAGTCAAGAATTTCGGTTAGCTTAGGGTTAATTTTGGGGCAGACTAAATGAAACAAAAACAAGGAGACTAGGGTAAGAAAGTATTGGTCAAGTGGTGTCCTCCACCGGTAACAAACGGCGCACGTCAGTTTAAACCTATTTTCTTAATTCTCTTATACTTTTATCTTAACTTATGATTCACTAACTTACTCTTAGCATTTTTTAACCACATACTTCCTCTTATTTAATATCTGATCTTATCCACCAAATTTAGTGCACACACCTTACCAATCGATCACACTACCAAAATGCACCAAAACCCTAACTCACTCTAAATTTAAAAGTAAAAGTAAAACTCTTGACTCAACTAATGAAATCACCATGAAATTTAGGGCTAGTAAATAGTTAAATAGTCAAGTAAAGAAATATAGAAAGAAATATAAATTAATGTCTCAAAATTAGGAGGAAATTCTAAAGAAATTTTCGGGTCCCCACACTCTCTCCCCTTTAAGAAAATTTCGTCCTCGAAATTTTTACCTTCCATTGCCTCAGATGACTCCGGAGCTTGTTGTTTGTCTAAGACATATACCTGTGTTGGTACTTTTGATCGGTTCCCTCTTTCATTAGTCTGTCTAGATTTGGTTCTATCCACTTGTTGAGCACTATTCCCTCGTGGCTGTTTTTTCGGGCAGTTGCTAATTTGATGGTTGGTACCCCCACAAACTAAGCACTTTCACCCCTTCCTCCAACAATCATCCTCAGTGTGATTTGTCTTCCCACAGTATCTACAGGTCAAACGAGAAGCCACCTTTTGACCTTCTCCAGGAATTCCCTCTTGTTGCCCTTTTTCCACTTCACTTCCCCTTGTAGAACCTTCTTCTAGCGTTCCTAGTGTCCATGGTGGATAGGGTGAATGGTTTGATCTTTTAACTTTGGAAGGTGTTGCATTCTTTCTAAGTTTTTCATGTATACTACTAGGTGTACTCCTTTTGTGTGCGTGAAAAACTTTTACCTGTGCCTTTGCATTCTCAATCCTTTAGGCCTTCCCAAGAATTTCAGTAAAAGTATTAACTTGAGCAGTGATAGATTACAATTCTGCTATTTATTTTGTAATTAATTTTCCCTATTACCTTACCAAATAGGGATTAATTATCAGATTTTATTCACTGTTGGTATTTGTGCTTATTACAGGAATTTGGAGCAAAATGTGATAAAAAGTTGAAAAATTACCGAATATGATTTGAACTGGCAAAAGGTAGTTCAACACAAATAAGAAATGTGTCAACTAGGAAATCTCCTAGTTTGTTGGCCGCGGTCAAAGAGGAGATAGAGGTCAATTGTGAGGAGGACTCCAGGGAGCCTTGGGAGAGCCAGCCGCCACAAGCAAAAAAGTAGGGAGAAAGCTAGTTTCTCGGTTGATTGCTACTTATTTTCTTTCCATAGTATGAGGAATATATAATCCCAATTAGGAGACAACTTTTGGTTAGACGGGACTTGGCCATCTTTGGCCGTCTTATGCGTTTTTTATTGTTTGAGAGCAATTGTTTTGGAGACAATTGTTTAGAACAATTAGTCATCTTTTATAGTTTGCTTTTCTTTCATGATTCCACCGAACTGAATCATCTTAAGAGAGAACAATGTTTTCGAGAATGACTTCTGCAATTTCGCATGGGATTTCCTCTATGAAGATGAACTAACTCCTTTTTCTAGCCGAAGGTTAATTTGAAGACGCGGTTCCAAACATCTGTGAGATCGAATTATTTTACTTATTTCTTTTATTCATTCGTATTCGTACGTTTTCTAGTTTTATTGCTTATGATTGTTTTGTTATTTGAATGTCAAGGGCTCGATATTCGAATTAACCTAATAATCTGCTGTCATATTAATTGATTGAATCTATAATTGTTCTATTGATTAATACCAGTGGCGACTAGCGTGATTGGTTTCATGTTAGGGAAACGTATGATCTAATTTAAACAAACCCTCGTAGCGTGTTTGTTGGTTAGGGTTGGGTTTTTCTAATTCTTATTGCAATTGAGAAATTAAATCCTATGATCGTACCTAGGGTTATTTCTTGGTTAGGGAAATAGTTAATGGTCGTACCTTGACTATCGAAAAGGTAAGGAAAGGTTGGTTGTTTATCGCGTGTATGACAACTATAACCAATCTAGTAATGAGTAATTGAATTATCTTCGCATCGATAATCAGTTGAATGGACCGTGTCTGAAAAGTTGCACCTTTGGCTAGAGTCGTATTAGTTATTGATTAATTCTTGTTTATTTCTATTAGTTATTTCATTAGTTAGTTAATTAGTAATTTTATATTTTTTAAAAATCCCTCATGCGCTGAATTCTAGAAGAAACGAATTATCCCCAATCCCTGTGGATTCGACCATACTCACCGCTATATACAAAATCTGTATTTTTCTTAAGTAGGTAATTATTATTGCACAGGATCGACACCTGTCAATTTTCGGCGCTGTTGCCGAGGACTGGCGTTCGTTAATTCGTTTTCTTTTTTAGTTCATTTTATTTTATTTTAATTTTTGTATTTTTTTTCTTTCGATTTTATGCCCCATTTCTCTTAAGCAGGTGAATTAATTTTTTACCATGAGATAAAGAAGACTGTGCATAGTGCCGACTCTAGCAATTCTGATCAATAAGACGTGTCGCCATGGCTAATGCTCGAACTTTAAGGGAGTTGGCTGCTCCAAACTTTAATCAACAGTCATTATGCATTACCTTTCCAAATTTAGATGAAGAAACTCCTTTTGAATTAAAGTTTGGTCTAATTCACCTTTTACCTTCTTTTCATAGTTTTTCAAGTGAGGAACCTTACAGGCACTTGCAGGAATTTGATATAGTATGCACAAGTATGAAACCGCCGGGGATTACTGAAGAGCAGATAAAAATGCGAGCATTTCCCTTTTCCCTCAAGGACGCGGCAAAAGATTGGTTCTACTATCTGCCACCAAGTAGTATAACAACTTGGGAACAATTAAAGAAGAAGTTTTTGCAAAAATATTTTCCTGCATCAAGAGCCGCCAGTTTGAGAAAAGAAATATGCGGCATTACACAGCATTCAGGGGAGTCTCTCTATGACTATTGGGAGAGATTTAAGAAATTGTGTACTAGATGCCCCCAACACTAGATTAGCGAGCAGCTCCTGATTCAATATTTCTACGAAGGTTTGTTATATACAGATAGAAATCTTATAGACGCTGCTAGTGGAGGTGTTTTGATGAATAAGACCCCCCAAGATGCTTGGAAATTGATAGAAAGGATGGCAGAAAATTCTCAACAATTTGGCACAAGAGAAGATGTCCATACTCATCGAGTAAATGAAGTAACTGTCTCATCAATTCAACAACAAATATCTGAATTAACTTCAGCTATTCGACAGTTGGTTGTAGGGGATTTGCAGCAGGCCAAAACATGTGGTATTTGTAAGGACACGAGTCATCTCACAGATTGGTGTCCAGTGCTACAAGATGAAAGAGTTGAACAAGTAACCATGGCTGGCAACATGCAGTATGACCCTTACTCCAACACGTATACTCCGAATTGGAGGGACCATTCGAATTTCAGCTATGGAGGTAACAAGCAGCAAAATTCTTTGCCCAATAAGCAGCAAGGTTTTCGGTCATGGTACCCCTCCAAATCTCAATCTCATTCATCAAATGCTGACATGTCTTTGGAGGATATGGTCAAGGCATTAGTTGCCAACACCACGCAACTCCAGCAAAATGCCACTCAATACCAGCAAAGGACGGACACGAGCATCAAAAACATAGAAAATCAGTTGAGTCAGATGACTTCTATACTACATCGTTTGGAGTCTCAAGAGAAAGGCAGACTTCCATCTCAGTTTGAAGTTAATCCAAAGAATGTGAGTGCCATGACCCTCAGAAGTGGAAAAGAAATTAAAGGGCTTACGGTTCTGAAGGATAAGGGTCAAGATCAAATTCAAAAAGAGATGGAAGATGGAAGGCGTGAATTGGTTTCTACACTGAGCAAATGAAATTCTCCAATTTATGAAGAATTGCCCTCACAGACCATCATCGACCTTAAGAAAGATGAGGATGCAATTATCCTGACAAGTGACATGGAACTGCAAGAGTCTCAAGAAAATGGATCTAAAGGTGCAGTTGAAAAGGAAGTTGAAGTGCAAGAAATGGAACCCCAATATCAAATTGTTCAAGTGGATGAATCCAGTGAATAATCTCCCAATGCGGTGACATCTCCTCCATTCCTTAATCAATATCCTCCTGACTCTTATTCTTTAATTCCTGTTAGTGAGATTGATTTTATTATACCAGAAGATTTTGAATTTCATGATAGGAATAAGTTAAGAGTTGCGATGGCAAAACATCTTGAACCAGCAAGAACGCGTGATGGAGGAGTGAGTGAAGAATTAAGACGCTTGATGCCATCTACTACTCCATGGAAGACCGTACCTTGTGGGTTCAAAGATTACTCTATTTACGAGGGATATCACGACTACATAGAAGATGAAACACTGAAACGAGCTACACGATTTTATCCTTCGTGAATAAACAGGGCAATGTCTAGCCAAAGACATTAAAGAAAGGCGCTGCTTGGGAGGCAACCCAATGAAGGAGGTTTTAATTTGGCGGACAGAAGACTACTTAGTAGTTAGACGTGCCCACGCCAAGTGGTCACGCCTAAGGAAGGCAATTCGCGGCAGAAGACTCTCCATTAGTTAAGCGTGCCCACGTCAAGTGGTCACGTTTAAGGAGCTCAATTTTCGAAGATTGGTCAGAAGACTCCCTAGTAGTTAGGTGTGCCCATGCCAAGTAGTCACGCTTAAGAATTTTAATTTCCGTGAGTTGGTTAGAAGACTCAAGGGCAGTTAAGCGTGCCCATGTCTAACGCAGTGGTTCAAAAAAAAATTTCATTTCATTTCTTTTCCTTTCTTTCTTTCTTTCTTTCTCTCTTCTCTTTCTTTCTTCTTTCTTTCTCTTTTCTTCTTCTCTCCCTTTTTTTTCTTCCTTTCTTTCCTTTTCCAGTCGCAGGACCACAACCTTAGGACCTCAAACTCCGCTGCTCGAACCGTTTCTGCTCGTCACCATTGCTACCACACCATGCTGCCGCCGCTAGCCACCTCCCATGATCATCTCCATTTTCGCTATCTATGGGCATCTCCTATTTTGGTTTGGGAGTAGTAAGGATCCACCATGTTGGCTTCACACTACCAATCCCACCTGTGCCATAGCTGCTCGAGACCCCTCTTTGATGATCAGGGAAGTTTCGTTATCTCTTTTTGCTTTGTATTTTATTCTTTATTGCTTACATTTGGGACAATGTAAGATTTAGGTGTGGGGGGAGTAGTATATTGGTATTTTATTGAAAAAGTGCATGTGTAGGCATTTTTGTTGGAATTTTTTTGTTTGACTTTGTTGAATTTTATCCAATTTTTGCCTATCTTTGTGCATATTTGTGATTATTCCTGATAAAGGATGGTTAGATATTTCAAATTTTTTCTACTGCCAAGATTTTATACTCTAAGGTGTTAAGTATGACATGGTTAAGTTCAAGGGTATCTCTTTGGTGAATATTTGAGACTTTGTGACTTTTGCACTTGTTTGGTTAACTTCTCTAAGTATAGTAAATATTTGTCTAGCATTTTTTTTATGCAAAGTGGTTCAACTATTAATCTTAGTTCTTCATATTTAAGAAATGAAGCGGGTTTGTGTGATTTTTAATTTTAATTTGATACTTATTTATGAATAGTATTCGGCTATACTTCGCTAGTATCGTTGCCTAGTAACCGGAGATCTTCACCACAAGTGTCGATTTTCGCGTCAAAAAGCGATGATAGTTATGAGTATGTGGTTTTTAAGCAATGAGAGCTAAGTAATCGGGTTTCTTCATTTGGCCAATGTCGGAGTTCGTGTCAAAACGCTTGAATGGCTAAAAACTAAGCATTCCCCCTAAAAAAAAAAATCAATCAAGTGTGGGGATATTTTAGAAAAAAAATGTGCTAATAGTGAAAGGTGTGAAAGTGTTTGAATAAATTGTTAGCCCGCTGATCCATGAATTTTAATGTTGAGATTTTGCTTAATAGTCGAACCATTTGTTTATGGATGCTGGTTTAATATTTTATATTCTTAGATTAGTTAGTCATAAATTGAAAGAGTTCTTGATCTTGAAAACTAACTAGAGAGATATTTCTTGAAAATTGCCACTAATACTTGACATATGTTTTATTTGTATCTTGGCAATAGAAGATTTTAGCAACAACCACTGTTTGAATTTGATTGTTTGATTTGTTGTTCTTATGCTTGAGGACAAGCATGGTTTAGGTGTGGGGGGAATTGATAGATTACAATTCTGCTATTTATTTTGTAATTAATTTTCCCTATTACCTTACCAAATAGGGATTAATTATTAGATTTTATTCACTTTTGGTATTTGTGCTTATTACAGGAATTTGGAGCAAAATGTGATAAAAAGGTGAAAAATTACCGAATATGATTTGAACTGACAAAAGGTAGTTCAGCACAAATAAGAAATGTGTCAACTAGGAAATCTCCTAGTTTGTTAGCCGCGGTCAAAGAGGAGATAGAGGTCAATTGTGAGGAGGACTCCAGGGAGCCTTGGAAGAGCCAGCCGCCACAAGCAAAAAGGTAGGGAGAAAGCTAGTTTCTCGGCTAATTCCTACTTATTTTCTTTCCATAGTATGAGGAATATATAATCCCAATTAGGAGACAACTTTTGGTCAGACGGGACTTGGTCATCTTTGGCCGTCTTATGCGTTTTCTATTGTTTTGGAGACAATTGTTTAGAACAATTAGTCATCTTTTATAGTTTGCTTTTCTTTCATGATTCCACTGAACTGAATCATCTTAAGAGAGAACAATGTTTTCGAGAATGACTTCTGCAATTTCGCATGGGATTTCCTCTATGAAGATGAGCTAACTCCTTTTTCTAGCCGAAGGTTAATTTGAAGACGCGGTTCCAAACATCTGTGAGATCGAATTATTTTACTTATTTCTTTTATTCATTAGTATTCGTACGTTTTCTAGTTTTATTGCTTATGATTGTTTTGTTATTTGAATGTCAAGGGCTCGATATTCGAATTAACCTAATAATCTGCTGTCATATTAATTGATTGAATCTATAATTGTTCTATTGATTAATACCAGTGGCGACTAGCGTGATTGGTTTCATGTTAGGGAAACGTATGATCTAATTTAAACAAACCCTCGTAGCGTGTTTGTTGGTTAAGGTTGAGTTTTTCTAATTCTTATTGCAATTGAGAAATTAAATCCTATGGTCGTACTTAGGATTATTTCTTGGTTAGGAAAATAGTTAATGGTCGTACCTTGACTATCGAAAAGGTAAGGAAAGGTTGGTTGTTTATTGCGTGTATGACAACTATAACCAATCTAGTAATGAGTAATTGAATTATCTTCGCATCGATGATCAGTTGAATGGACCGTGTCTGAAAAGTTGCACCTTTGGCTAGAGTCGTATTAGTTATTGATTAATTCTTGTTTATTTCTATTAGTTATTTCATTAGTTAGTTAATTAGTAATTTTATATTTTTTAAAAATCCCTCATGCGCTGAATTCTAGAATAAACGAATTATCCCCAATCCCTGTGGATTCGACCCTACTCACCGCAACATACAAAATCTGTATTTTTCTTGAGTAGGCAATTATTATTGCACAGCCTCGACACCTGTCAAGCAGCTGCTGAAGCTTCTTTGATCTCCAAATTCAACCCCTGTATAAACCGTCTCATCCTCCTCTGCTCCGTAAGCACTAGTTCAGGAGCAAATTTAGATAATTTAGTGAATTGGGTTTCATATTCGGCTACGCTTAAGGTTCCCTGACGTAACCTAATAAAATCATCCTCTCTCTTCTCTTGGACTAGAGGTGGGAAGTATTTCTCATTAAACTCTCTCATAAAGTTTACCCAAATCCATGTTGTATGTTCTCTCTCCCATTTTGCCCTAATAACATTCCACCACGCCAAAGCGGGTCTCTCAAATTGAAAGACAGCAAATGCCACTTGTCTTTCCTCCGTATAATTCAAGGCCATAAAAATATCAACCATAGCCTCCAACCAATGCTCATCGGTCTCTGGATCAGGCCCTCCAAGGAACTTAGGAGGAACAAACTTTTGAAAACGCTCTAGAGCCCTGTCCTCAACGTTTTCAGGGTTCCTAAGCTGATTCACTGGAGTTTGGCCTTGTTGCTCTACCAATTGCGCTAAAATATTAGTCATTTGTTGTATTGTCGTTGCTACTTGATCCCCTGCTTTGGCCCCTTGGTTCCTGTTGCTGCTCTGCCGCTGCATCTCTTGTTTCTCTTGGTTCTTGTACTAGCCTACCACCACGTCTCTTGTACTTGCCTACCACCACGTCCACGGCTAGCCTCACGTCCCCGACTAGCCCCTCGTCCTTGACTTCGTCTACCCTCCATACCCTTCTTTCTTTTTTTTTCAAAAGGTTATGTATCACATAAACAAAATAAGCCGACTATAACAGAAAAAGAAAGACATTTTTAAATCCCACAGTCAAAGATAAGGAAATGCACTTAGTACATGTATAACATTTCAAGTTCATTCATCAAGTAAAAAAGATACTTTACATATCAAATTGATCAAAACCAAGCGCGTAAAACAAAACAGATACCGTACACATTAGCATTAACACGTCACTAGCAGCATACATACAGTGGTAGAACAAGAAATGACTTGTCATCCCTGTTACCTACACCAACGTCCTGCATTCTCGAGTCTCTAACCTAGGTCATTATCGAACCAACTGATTCTACTTCTCCCTCAGCGCAGATTGCCCTACCTTAGGCTCAAGATTAAATTCATTAAGGCCTGCATACCCTTGACCTCCCTTGGTTAGGTTCACTTGTACAACCTCATCCATAAGCATCTCAAATTAGTCAAAGTACAAAACTCTTCAATTGCATGTACCAATTCAAATATATCATTAGTAATGCCAATCCAAGGTAATAACCTACTCTCTTGAGCTAA